TGAGGCAGGCTGAGGCTGAGGCCGAGGCTGAAGGCAGACTGAGGCTGAGGCTGAAGCAGGCTGAGGCTGAGGCTGAGGCAGGCTGAGGCTGAGGCTGAGGCAGGCTGATGCTGAGGCAGGCTGAGGCTGAGGCTGAGGCTGATGCAGGCTGAGGCTGAGGCAGGCTGAGGCTGAGGCCGAGGCTGAAGGCAGACGGAGGCTGAGGCTGAAGCAGGCTGAGGCTGAGGCTGAGGCAGGCTGAGGCTGAGACTGAGGCAGGCTGATGCTGAGGCAGGCTGAGGCTGAGGCTGTGACTGCGACTGCCGTTGCCACTGCGACTGTCATCGCGAATGCGACTGCGATTGCGAGACCAGCAGAATTCTACAACTGGATTCTCATCAGAATCTTGAGGGGAATGCTTCCAGATATGCTCCTACACATCGCTGTTAGGTTGCTTTGCCGGGATAATGCTAAGGGAATCATGACGTTCCCACACCAACAATCAGTAGATGTCCGGAGGTCTCAGGGTTAGGTTTCTCGTGGAAGGTTCCTTGTGGTCGAGCTCCCACTGTACCCCCTGAACGGAGCCTTCTCTCCCACCTCGCCGACGCTTGGGCGCGGCCCATGCCCAGCAGTCTCAGTCGTCGTCGTCGTCGTCGTCGTCGTCGTCGTCGTCGTCGTCGCCCCATCCTTCGTGCTCATGGGTTCGGGTCCGAAAATCTCCCTCCTCGATCCTCGGCGAGGGCCGAGGGCAAAACTCGGCAGGGGAGGAGGAGAAGGAGGAGGCGGAGGATGAGGACAAGGAGGAGGACAAACCTTCAAAGCGAACTCCGAGGCCGAAAGCGAAAGGAGGATCAGGAGGAGGAGGAGGAGGAGGAGGAGGAGGAGGAGGAGGAGGAGGGGGAGGAAGACGCGGAGGAGGAGGAGGAGGAGGAGGAGGAGGAGGAGGAGGGAGGCGGAGGAGGGAGGAGGAGGAGTGGAAGGACCAATGTAAAGCCAAGACTCATCAACGAGGTTGCAATAGACCCTCCCTCCAAGTTCCCTCTTGATAGGTCCATGCAGGGATGTATTTTCAGTGCGGGAAGTGCTCCATTGGAAAACAATTGTCTGAAGGTCTGCAACCATGCCAAAGCACCATTCCTGGGACTTCGTGCCTGACACCGTTCTTGGGATCACAGCATCGCACACCCAGGTGGTTGTCGCGTCCTGACTTTCCTTGATCATGTCTAAACGCCATTCCTGGTGCGTCAGCGATAAGAATCCGTCAAACTGCTGACAACTTTTTAGACAAATGTGCGCGGCGCGAAGGCGAGCGCCACATATTGAAACTGGCCCGCCCTCTATCCGTGAAGCACTTGCGCACTTTTCAACCTGATGCGAGCGGCGAGAAGGCGAAACGTACATTTTGAATGAAAACGACCCGCCCTCCATCCATGAAGATCCTGCGAATTTTTAAGGTGAATGTTCGCGGCGCTTGGGCGAGAGCCACATATTGAAAGCGGCCGCCCTCCATCCGTGAAGCTCCTGCAGAATTTGAAGATGTATGTGCGCGGCGCTTAGGCGAGAGCCACATATTGAACACGGCCCACCCTGCATCCGTGAAACCGTTGTAACTTCTCAGCCTCTGGATCCTGCATGATGAGGAAGTCTCCTGCGAAACTCCCGGCCCCCCATACCGACTCATCTCGGGGTGTGACAGGGGGAAGTTCTTTATACGGCCGCTCAATTTTCTTAGATGCGTGGGCCCCAAAGGTCTGGACCATTCCTTCAGGGCCGGCTTCTCGTCCTGAGTCGTTCCTGCACGGTCCTGCAAGGCCCAGCGAGGCCCCCCTGGCCGGAAACGGCGCCCCAAGCTTGCCGATCCAGTTTCTCGGGAGCGTCGGATCTTTCAAGTCTTGGGGGAGGAGCAGATGGGAGGAGGAGGAGGAGGAGGAGGAGGAGGCGGAGGAGGAGGAGGAGCAGATGGGAGGAGGAGGAGGAGGAGGAGGGAGGAGGGAGGAGGAGGAGGAGGAGGAGGAGGAGGAGGAGGAGGAGGAGGAGGAAGGAGGAGGAGGAGGAGGGAGGTGGGGCGCGGCGGCCCCGGGGAGGGTGCGCAGACTCTTCGGCTCGCGGGCGGCCCCTGGCGTGCCAGGGGCCGGCAGCCGTCCGGGGGCTGGGGGCCCCACGCCGGGGAGCAAGCCGTGGCAGAAACGCAGGGCTCATTTCGATTTCTCCGATTCGAGTCGATTCGATTTCAACGGAGTCCGATTCCGATTCGATTCGACCTCGGATTCCGATTTCGGATCCGATTTATCAATGGAGGCCTACGAACCTGCCGATGTCTACCGATTCGACTTTTCCCGACTCGGCTGCCGATTTTCGCCGATCCGATCCATTTCGATCGCCGATCCGACTTATCGATTCGATTCTGGGCTCTCCTGGAAACGTGCCGCCGCGCCGTTGGGCATGGCGCGCGGCCTTACGTCTTGGGGAGGGCGCCTCGGCCACCAGGGCAAGCTTCGGCCAGACGCAAGCCCAGACC